TCTCTCTCTCTCTCTCTCTCTCTCTCTCTCTCTCTCTCTCTCTCTCCACACACACACAAACACACACATACACACACACACACACACACCACATACACACCCGTGGAGACTTACCACAGTCTCTGAATGTTACAGCCTGGAAGCTGGAGTGCCTCACACAGCACCCTCATGCCCGCATCCCCCAGGGTATTGTCACTGAGGTCCAGTTCTGTGAGGTTCTGGTTGGTGCTTAGACTGGAGAAGAGGCCTCGGCAGAAGCTAGACGTGAGATAGCAGCTCTCCAATCTAGAAGGGCAGGAAGAAGGACAGAAAAGAACATTGGTTTCTAATGATAACAAACTGGAGCTCAGGACAGGGCTCCAGGCACCTATTCATAGAAAAGTCTCCTGGATGTCAAGTCACAAATCTACAGTTCCTTCAGACGGAAGCAGGCTGGTGAGCCTTGGGTAGAGAGGTTCCTTTTGAGATTCAAAGAAGTAAGCTTTAGACTTACTGCAAAAACCCTCAGGTACCCCCTTCCAACATTAGACAGCTGTTGTGCCCCTGGTCTGGACGTGACACTGAGTGGTCCAAGGAGCATCTTTGACTCAGGCTGCCCAACTGCATCGGGACTGCTGTGGAAAATCCTGAGGCCATGCTGCAGTCACAGGAGTAAAGTCAGAATCTCAAAAGCAACACCATCTACATCGCTAGTGTTTACTTTTACAGTCATTTGCAGGGATTCACATAGGAACACCCTGTAGCTCTTATTAAATGCAGAGGCTGAGGACTGGGAATGGAGCTCCGTTGGTGGAAAGCTTGGCTGGCATGTTTGAGGTCCTGGATTTGACCCCTAGCACAAGTCACTCTCTACCATCCACAGGGCGGCAGTCACATCATCACGAAGCTTGGCAATTATATTTGGAAAATCGGTAAGTGAGGAGAGGAAGTAAGGACCAAGGAAAAGAGCCAGAAAGCATAAGGCACAGGCTCCATCTGCTTGAAGTCAAATTTCCTTACCTGGAAGAACAGGCAGTGTGGGGCTCTGGGAAAACACCCTGGTCCTGGGCCAAGTGTTGACTTTCTCCCTTCTCTTCTTCTTCTTCCTTGGAGGAGTTGTGGAGAAACCCCAGGGAAAGCGTTTTCACCCGGTGACAGTTCTTGATACAAAAGGAGGACACCACATGGTCCATTCTGGTAGAGAGGTTGATCTCAATTTTGGGAAAGTGGTCCATGGCCCTCTGCACAAAGTCTTCTTCCTGCATCTCATACAGGCAGTAGAACAGTTCCAGCTGGCTGGGCTGTCTCTGCAGCTTCTTGGCCTTGGCTTTCACTTCAATCCACTTCAGCAGCTCCAGTCTGACTTGCTGAGAGATCTTGCAACTCAATTTCTTCTCCAAATAGGAGGCTCTCTCCTGGTTCACAAGGCCGAAGAGGAAACGGACCACGAAAATCAGATAGCCTTTTTCAAACTTGCCGTAATTTTCTAGGAGGACCTTCACGTCTCGGTTCAGGAGATCCGAACAACCTGTTGGTCCCTTCCTCACAGCCACCCCCTCTTCCTCCTCTTCCAGCAAGTAGTACATAGCAGCAAAGAACTCCTGGAAGGTCATGTGGCTGAAGCTGTAGACTCTCTCACAGTCCACTTCCTTCTGGAACACGTTCATCCTCAGGAAAGCAGAGACATCTGTCTTCTGCAGGCCGTGTTTCCTCAGATCACACTCCTCAAATAGGATTTTCTGGTTCCAAATTCCATCTGCAGCCAGTGAGCAGAGCCCCTGTAGGTGGGAAGAGAAGAGATGCTCCTCCATGTCCCCTCGGGACTGCAGCAGGCTGGAGAGGAAAAAGACATAGACGGCAGTAGTGGTCTTGGAGGTCTGGGCCAGGCTCTTCCCGGTCTCCATCTGCTGCTTCAGCCCTGTGCACACAATCCAGCAGACCAGGGGGATGAAGCACATGGTAAAGAGGATCTCATTCTCTTGGATCAGCCTGAAGGCTTCCCTGGCCTGCAGCTCATCTGAGAAATACTTAAAGAAATACTCCTTCCTTTTGGCCTCGGAGAAACCGAGGATCTCTACATGGCGAGGGTGGTCCAGCAGATGCTGCAGTTTCTCCAAGGCTACCGGCCTCGTTGTAATGAGCAGAGAGGCCTTGGGCAACAGCTTCTTTCGGATGAGGCTGCTCAGCAGGATGTCTCCCCTCACAGCCTTCTGCCAGTCTGTGCAGACCTCTCCAATGTGCTCATCAAAGGCCCCTTGCAGCTCATCAAAGCCATCCATGAGGAAGAGGATCCTGGAAGGCTTATGCAGGATCTTGCACAGTGGTGGGTTTGGATCAGGCCAGCAGCTGACAATCAGGTCTCCCAGACTCCTTGGTGTCCTGAGGCTCACCTCTCGACAGTGGATAAAGAATACATAATCAAATTTGTCTTTGAAGAGCTTCCCAGATGCCCAGTCCAACATAATCTTCCTGGCTAGTATTGTTTTCCCAATGCCTGCTGCTCCCTGGAACACCACTGTGTGCACAGGCTCTGTGTGCTTATCCTCAGGCTCAAACAGTAACTCCAGCTTAATGGAATTCATGGGGCTGTCCCACATTTTGGTCCTGCCAATGGTCAGTAGTTCATACTCCCTCTCTTGCTTGCTGGGATGCTCCTTGACCATTTGTAGCTGAGTGTAGCGTTTGCTGAGGTCAACACTCTCACCCAGACGTGCATTTTGATCTTGGATACAGTAGAACCTGCTTCTCACATGTCTTCTGTACATCTTACAGTAATCTGCAGCAGAGACAGGAAGGTAGAATCCAGGAAAAGCCCCCATACATCTATTCCCCAACAATAATCTATTAGGGGACCTATGCTCTTTCAGGAGGAACACTGAGAATTGTGAGGATCCAATAACAACAGCAAAAACACGTAAAGAATGCTGACTGTCATAGAGAATGTGCTCACCACTCATGTATATAGCAAGGTATGCTCTCTGATGCAATAGAGGCATGGTTGTTACGGCAGTAACCAACCATTTCATCATGGGATTTGAGGTCAACTCCCAAGGTAGGAATTCATGTCAGGTCCTGAAAAATCCAGTCTAAAGCCTATGTGGCCAGGGAGCCACAGGCCCTAGTGGCAATGTGTTCTCCAGATAGCTCATATATCTATTACTGTTTCCCAAAAGGGTGGAGGCAACATAAAATGCAAATTAATATAAAACATGCCCACGTGTCTAAAAGAAAAACAAGCGGCTTGTACTCTGGAGAGAGTAAGGATTAGGTTAGGGAAGTAGGAGGTATAATTTTTATCCACTGCTCAAGAGTATCAGGTCCCCCAAACTCTGTCTTCCCCCTCATGCTAGAGCAGAAAGCCGGCACCATAGGCACTGCCTCCAGCCAGAAAATCTGTTATTTCAGCCTCATACCTGTAGTCTGAAAAAAAAAAAAAAAAAACAAAAAAAAAAAAACATGTAAATGTGCATCTACTTCTTGAGCTGAAGGTGAGTTTCCTGAAGCAGGCCTTGTTCCCCGAAGAGGAAACCTGTGGCGTGGCCAAGCTACCCAGCTTCCCAGCTCCTTTTCCAAACCTCCTCTTCCAAGTCTCAAAGCAAAGGTGGAAGCTCCCTACATACCTTTCTTTTTTTTACAAATTGATATGTGGGAAAGGTATCCCAGCAAACCCATCCACTCCTCTTCAAGGCTGTCTTCCTGGCATACCACAGTGAGATTAGAAGCACGCTCATCACCTAAACACAAAAGGAAAAAACACAAAGTACATCAAAGAGTCCTAACACAGAGGATAGAACGGAGCCTAGTCTATGGGGTGGGTCAGAGGCCCCTACCCCATATTCCTTCTGAATTAGACATGGCTTAGCCAGGCATGACAGCACACACCTCTAAGCTCAGCACTTGGGAGATGGAGGCAGGAGGATCAGAACTTCAGAGTTATCCTCAGCTACGTAGTGAGTTCAAGGCCAGCCTGGGCTACATGAGATCGTGTCTCAAAGAGGAAAAGCAAAGAAAAAGAAAAGTAGAGGGAGAGGGGAGTAAACATGGTTCAGGTAGTTGTGTCATCAGAAGCCCGGTGAGCACGATTCTGCTTGCCTTGCTTTGAAAGGATAGCTGTCAGCCATCAGCTAAACACTGTGTTCCCAAGCTCAGAATGTCTTTGCCAGACCCAGAAGTCCATCAGAGTACATATGAGAAAAAACAGTGTTTCTTTTGCCATCATCTGTCCCTGGCTGTCCCTAGCAGCCTGACTTGGAGGCCATGTGTCCGATCCTCAATGTTCTCCTGACAGGCTCACCCTTCCCTGCTCGTAGTGGTGTGGATGTAGCCCATTTGGGTCATATCCTGTTCTTCCATGTCTAGATTTCTAGGTCTTCCGAAATGAACATTGTCAGTCAAGTAGTTCAGAACACTGGTTAACTAAATTCACATAGAAAAATTTAAAAATTCTGAGTAGGACTCTACTCAAAGCAGTTCTGTTTACTCTACACTGAGGCTTAAGGCATCATTATCCACAGAAAACTCCAAGGAAATTCCAACATGTACCTTTAGCCAAGGACTACATGTCCAAGTAGTCTGGGCTTTCTTTCTAAGAGAAATTTAGGAATGCTGTAACCAAAGCCCCCTGTAGGAAAACGTATACAATAGATTAAGGACACAGACAGGAACTTTATGGGTAAGGTAAGTACTCCTGTGGATATAAAATAATTCTATAAGATAGTGTCAGGGATGTAGCTCAGTTGGCAGAGTGCCTTCACAGCATGGATGAAGTCTATCTTATACCACATAAGCCAGGCATGGTGTTAGCATACACCTGTAACCCTAGCACCTGGGAGGTGGAGGCAGAAGGATCAGGAGTTCAAGGTCATCCTCAGCTGCACAGTGAGTTGGAGGCAAACCTGAGCTGTGTGAGACCCTTTCTAAGGAAGGAATGATAAGAGAGGAGGAAAGAAAGAGAGAAGAAAAGAAAGCGCCACTAGCAATGAGATCACAAAACAAAAATCTAGACATTCGTGCAAACCAAGCTCTCAACATAATTCTCCCGTAAGGTCTCCTTTAACCCAAAGAGAACTTCAAATACTGGTGACAGTTTTCACACTTAAAATTCAGATGTGAAAGCCGACATCACATGGCTATACTTCCATAGTCTTGCCTGGCTTTTTACTCGGATTATGGCTGACTCTGAGTGGGGAGCCCTGGGTATTTAGAACATCTCCCTTGGCTCATACCGTTCATTTGAAAGCACTAATAGTACTAGTAATTACTTTATAGGGTTGCTGGAAGAACAAAATCCATCAAAACTGCCTAGTATAGCTGTTCTGGAGTGGTGGCTCAGTGATTAAGAGCCCTTGCTGTTCTTCCAGAGGACCTGGATTCAGTTTTCAGCACCCACATGGTGGCTCACAACTGTCCAAAACTCCAGTTCCAGGGAATCTGATGCCATCTTCTGGCCTCCTCGGGTAACAACACATGCATGGTGCACATATAGACATGCAGGCAAATACTCATCCACCTAAAATACATGTATTTTGGGGTGTTTTGTTTTTGAGACCTGGTCTTTCTATTACATAGCCCTGGCTATCCTGGAACTTGCTTTGTAGACCAGGCTGACCTCTAACTCACATAGATCCACCTGCCTCTGCCTCCTAAGTGCTGAAACTAAAGGTGTGTGCCACTAAATCAGGCCCAAACTAAATTTTATAAAAAAAAAAAAAAAAAAAAAAAAAAAAAGAAAGTAGCAACTACCTAGTAAAAAGCCAGAGACAAGTGGCTCAGTGATCAAAGACACAAACCTGGTGACCTGATTTTGATCCCCGGCACCCACGTGGTAGAAAGAAAGACTCAACTCCTGCAAGGTGTCCTTGGACCTCCACATATGTACCATAGCACACACATACATGCACACAAAATAAATAACTAAAAACATTTTATGGTTTAATATCAAAAATTGCTTAGTAAGTACTCCTACTGCTGAGATTAACACTCCACTCTTATTGCATTTGTTCTTTGTACAGACACAGTTACAGTTGCAATGTGATATGCAGCTTGATTGCATCGTTCTCCAACACACAGCTCCATCTCTTTCTCCTGTATCACTATTGCCTTGCCATGCACCCCCTCGTCTCCACTGACCCCGTGGTGTAGGATGGAACCTAGGGCCCTGTGCATGCTAGGCAGGCGCTCTACCACTGAGCTATCACCACCCCAGCATCTTTACCCATTGTGATTACTCCCTCCTGCCCCTCCAACTCAGCATCCTCTGCCTGTGACGTTCTGGTCACTCTGAATCCTTTCTGCCGTTTCCCTTGTTCAGAGCAAACAAGTATCCACTAGGAGCTGGTTGGGAAACCAGAGGTGGGCCTCAGTACTAAACAGACCCGTAAAGAGCATGGTACCGGGGACAGCAGGCTCCTGGGAGTAAGTGAATACTGCGACCGGAGTTTTTACAGAACTAGAAAAAGCACGCGGCTTCCTCCCACTCTCTCATACCCCGCCAGGAGAAGAGAAAAAACATGATAATAAATTAACATTTTCAACATGCCAACTTCTTTGTGGCAAAGGACATAACCTCCTAGCATTTATAAGGCAGAGGAAAGAGGATCCTGAATCTGGGGGCAGCCTGGAATATGTGAGACTCTAATTCAAAACCCAAGAAAGGACAATGTTGCATAAACACAATTACCCACTGGCAGATGAAGAGACAAGCAAAATGTAGTCTATACATGGATATTTACCATTAATCTTTTTTAAAGAAGGAAACTCTGACATACATGAAGTCATTCTGCTAAGTGAAATAAGCCAGCCACAAGAGACAAACATCTCATGATTACACCTGCATGAGGAATCCGTAGTGGTAAAGTTGACAGAAACAGAAAACAGAAAGGTGGTTGCTAGGAGACGGAGTTAGGTAACGGAGAGTTATTACCTAGCAAGTTAAGAGCTTCCGTTGTGCAAGGCAAAAAGCACTCTGGAAGCTGGTTGCACAACAATATGAGTTTCCTTATTATTAAGCCATATACTTAAAATTACCAAAATTCTACGTTTTAGGTTACGTGTACTTTACTGTAAGAAGAAAAATCTTCTTGTTCACTCACTCCACTCTGGCTGGTCCTTCTCAGCTTTTTCCCAGAGGTCTCTCCTGTTGATAGCTGCAAAGATCCCCACAGCCATGGCCCATGCCTTTTCCTCCCCATTGAAGTCGATCATGAGTGTGGCTAGATCCAAATGGTCGGCCTTCTCCATCTGGCCCCTGGGGAGTGGGATGCAGCCCCTCTCAGGTGGATAATCTTCCAAGTGCATTTTGAATTTCCTGAGGTCCACATCCTCGAGGTCCTCTAGATACTGGGCCAGCTTGCATCGGACGCTTGTCATCTTCATCCGCAGCCCTTTCGAGGGTCCTGGGGCTTAGGTCCACACTGGCACAGCAGGAATGAAAACCCCAGGTGGGTAAGAAAAATCTTATTAAAACTCTCCACTTCCAGAAAACTAGATGCTAATATTGAAACATCACAGGGTACCCCATAGCTTGGTACAGGTTTTTAAGTTTCTTAACTCAAAAAATTCCAAGCGGGGGGTGGGGGGGGAGATCACTCAACTCTATGAATCACCATCTCTGACTCTGAAAAGTAAACCAAATGCTTACCAGAAAGTTCTCTGAGCTTGATCCAGGAGTGTGTCCTGAGCCATGGAAGTAAAGCTCCTCTGTAGAGATCAAAATAAATAAGCCATCAACACAATAAGCTATGGTACACAGAGAACAAGCCTACATGAGACCACGGTCCCATGGTAACAAGGCTGGAATCAGGGCACTCGTCACTGTTTCTCAATTTCAGCTTCCCCATTTACTCACTGAGAAAGCAAAAGAGATTGCTTTCCGATCACTTTTAATGGAAGGTTCTGGTTCTTGCTCCTGTTTTCATCTGAGGGGAAGGAACAAAGGAAGGAGAAAGCCAGGAGAAAAGATGCTATAGTAATAACAGAACAACAACAGAAGGCGGACCCACAGCCCAGAGGGGTGGACAGTCTTGCACTGCTCCTCTATGTCCCATGGACCGACGGGACCTAATCAGGTGGAACTTGGGCGCATATAAAGGAGAGGAACAAAGCATACATCTCTTCAATGGCTCTTTGAAATTTTCAAAAACATGAGCAATCATGATTCACATTTGGTTAAATATGAATTAAAATTCATAGGCTAGATGCTGCCCTGACAATTCTTTCTCATCTAGGTTCTCAACTAATTGGAGTGTGGAAGTTCCTTCTGCTGAGCAGTACAGACACTAAGTGGCGATCTCAGTCTGAAGCCATTAATGATAGGGGAAGGGAAAGAGCCTGGAAAATGGTAATGGACTCTGAATTGATATTTATATGACAGCAAGCTGATACTCAGTCACCTCGAGCTCAACGACTCCTGTTCCGTTTCCATTCTTGTCTCCTCTCCCTGCTGTAGGCAACAGCTCACATCCTTCCTTTCATTCATCTCTGGTGCCTTTGCTGACAGCCGCCCCAGCTCTACAGATCCTCCTTCAGCTCCCATCTGTACCAGGATTTTTCAGTTCTCTGCTCCCTGCTCCTGAGACCTTCCACAAATAGCTTTGGTCTTTACTTTGGCTGGCCCCTGGGCTTCCAGCACATTCCCTCACAGGCATCCCACTCTGCGGCCCTGAGTGGATGCTAGGCAAGCCTGTTGAAGTCCTAGGAAACTATAATTTCTTCTTCTTCTTCTTCTTCTTCTTCTTCTTCTTCTTCTTCTTCTTCTTCTTCTTCTTCTTCTTCTTCTTCTTCTCCTTCTTCTTCTTCTCCTCCTCCTCCTCCTCCTCCTTCTTCTTCTCCCCACCACCTCCCCACACCTCCCCAACATGCACAAACCAAGTAACCAACAAACAGAATACCCCAGAAATACTTTAAAGTTAGATTTAGAATCTAGAAGAAATTTCTAGTCTATTGACCAAGACAAATCATGCCATTGAGCATAGCTTCCCATTCCTTCCCTGGACCTTTCACCCACACTGCTCCATGAAACAGTACTCACCCAGATACCAGCCTTAAGTACAGCCAAAGAGGAAATGAGATGAATTTATAATGGTCACTGACACTGGAGGCAGGAAGGATGTGGTTTCAGGAAGTGAACGAGCTTGCATCACGGTCAAAGGCAAACTAACAGTTACTCATCTGGATGGGTTTTCCAAACCCAAGCAATAGAGTTCTGAGTCTAAGCCTGGGCTGCAGACCTGAATTCCCCAGGGTCCTTGGGGAAGTCTTCAGAAGCAGTGGGAGAAGGTGGCTCCTCGGGGTTCAGCTCGAATTGCAAGCACCCCAGAGAGAGCTGGACTCCAGGAAAGAAGGAAGTGAGCAGTGATACGCAGAACTGGTAAGTGGAGAGTTGAGAATAAGGTCAGGCTCTGAAACCCCATGTTCCACGTTCTCTCCCCTCACACGGAGTGGTCATCAGGCAGCTACAAGTGTTTGCCGTCTCCCATTAATTTTGAAGGCAGATGTCCTACTCCGTGACTTCCAGACTCACCTGTCAGGTTGATGTGGAGAATTAGCTGTGTCCAAGGAAAAAGCCAAAAGCATTTGGCTTTCTTTACCCCTACAGAACAAGGAGAAAGATGGTCACACAGACCTGCTTCCCCTGCCCCTCTTGGTAAGACCAGAGCCTGACAAGGGGATGGGTTCCCCCGAGCTCTGAGTGAGAGGTGCTCTCTCAGTATCTGGCATGGAACAGCTACTCATACTGAACTACAGGTGAAATGTCAGACCCACCTCTCACAGACTGTGTAGATCCGGAGGCAGCAGCAAGAGGTGAAAGGCTAAAGCTAGACAGGAAGCAGACCAGACACACTCAGGAGCCTACTGGCTGTACGTACGATTTTTTTTTTAAGTCAGTTGTAAATCGGTTTGACTGAGATATATTTTATATGTAGCAAAAATCCACACCTTCATAAAAACAGATACATAGATTAATAGAAAAGGGTAGAAAATGCAAAAATAAGCCCCAGTTTGTGTGAGCAAGTGATTTTGACAAGGACCATCAAGAAGATAAAAAGAAGAGTGATCATTTCAACAAATGTTTTTTTTTTTTTCAGCCAGATCCAGTGGGGCAAATCTGTAATACCAGTTGCTTGGAGGTTGAAGCAGGGAATTGCAAGTTCAAGGCCATCCTGGGCAACTTAGTAGGACACTGTCTCAAAATAAAAAGGGGGGTGGGAATGGAGCTAGATGGTAGAGCCTTACCTAACATGCCTGAGACGCTGGGTTCCACCCCTGGTACTGCAAAAAGTAAAAACTGAAAAGTAAGAAATTGATGATCTCGCCGGGTGGTGGTGACGCATGCCTTTAATCTCAGCACTCCAGAGGCAGAGCCAGGCGGATCTCTGTGAGTTCCAGGCCAGCCTGGTCTACTGAGCGAGATCCAGGACAGCGAGAGAACTGCAACACAGAGAAACCCTGTCTCGAAAAAACAAAAAAGGAAAAAAAAAAGAAAGAAATTAGTGATCTCCAGAAAACTGGATAGTTACATGCTAAAGAATAAAACTGGACCCTGCCTGATCTTATCACATTTAAATCCACTCAGAGAGAGAAAGATCTAAACAGATCTGATGCCGTAATTGTCTAGAAGACAGGGAAAACCTGTTAGTGCTGACTCTGGTGAGGGCTTTTAGGCATCTCCTGAGAAGCAGTGCAACAAGAGGGTAAATAAGCTGTCGGGACCAATCATACTAAAAAGCTCCCGAGGACATGAGTAGAGAGAAGAAACCACTAATGACCTCAAGAAGGCATTTGTAAACCACATTTTAGATAAGGGGTTAACAGCCAAAATATGCAAGGATTCCACTCAACTCAGCAGTAAAGAACATGAACAAAGAACACTCGAGAAGAAACCAAAAGCCCAGCAGGCATGTGAAAAGTGTTCAGCATCACCAGTCCTCAGGCAAAAGCAAATCAAAGTGACAATAAAGAAGTTGTATATACATACATACATATACATATATATATGTATGTATGTATATCTTAGACACAGAGCTTGCCTGGCATGGGGGAAGCCCTGAGTTTGATCCCCAGTACCACATAAAAACTGGATAGAGCAACATGCACACAATCCCAGCACTGGAGAGTCCAAGGTCAGTCTTGCCTAGGTAGTGAGTTCTAGACTAGCCTGGGGTACAAAGGGAGACTTGGTCTCAAACAAACAACAAAAATCCAATAAAAATAATAATAAACCAGTTGTTGTTCTTGTTAACCAATGAGTTTAAGTGGGGACTTACAGAAGCATCACTGAGAGACTGATTGCCGGAGCACGGGCAGTTTACCAAGAGTCACACAACTGGAGGGACTAGATAGACGGCTCAGTGGCTAAGAGCACTGGCTGCTCTTGCAGAAGACCCAGGTTCCATTCTCAGGACCCACGTGGTGATTCACAGCTGTCTGTGAGTCCACTTCCAGGGGGTCCAATGCTCTCCTCTCATCCTCTTGGGCACCAGGCACTAACATGTGCACAGCAACACATACAGGCAAACCACTCCCACACATAAAATAAAGTAAGTCTTTTAAAAGAAGCCATGGAAATTACATATACTTTTACTTTGGGGTGGGAGGGGAGACAGAGTTTCTCTGAGTAGCTTTGGAGCCTGTCCTGAAACTCACTCTATTAGACCAGGCTGGCCTCGAACTCACAGAAATCCACCTGCCTCTGCCTCCCGAGTGCTGGGATTAAATGCGTGTGCCACCACCGCCTGGCAGCTTTATTTATTTTTAAAAAGCCCAGTTATGAGCCTGGAAAAGTGGCTCCCCAGTTAAGAGCATTTGTTGTTCCAGAGGGCCTGGATTCAATCCTCAGCACCCACATGGTGGCTCACAGCCATCATTAGCTCCAGTTCCAAGGGATGTGATGCTGATACCCTCTTCTGACCTCTGACCTCTGACCTCTGAAGGCACTGGGCACACCTATGGTGCCTACATAATTGCAGGCAAAATATTCAATACCTAAAATAAGTAAATCTTAAAAATAAGTAAGCAATATGCCTATTTGTGGAATATTTTCCATGAAAAGAGAAGCTCCTGCTGTTTGTGACAATTTGTGAGCCTGGGAGCCACCATGTGCTGCAGTTGGAATGCTGTGTTTTCTCCAAAGGTCACCTTGAGAAGGAATGCCCATGTGACAGCATCAGAAGTGAGGTTTGTGAGAGGTAAGAAAACCATGAGCACTCCACCTCAGGAATTTATGAATTCCTTGCAAGAGGGCTCCCCGGAGAAGGTAATAAGTCCCCATTTACCCTTGCAGCTCTTGAGCAGACAGTGTCCATCCCCTGCAGAGGACACAACATGCCTCTCTTGACAGCTGAGATCATCCCTCACTCAACACCAAACCTTCTGCCACCTCAACCTTGGACTTGCAGCCTCCAGAGCTTCGAGAAATAAGCATTACAGTGTTCTGAGTTCTCCACCCAGGGGTGCTTTTCTTTTTCAGCCTGGTAAAAGTAAAGGGGTTTACTGGGAGGGGTGTTTGAACCCAAGACAAACCGAAGCATCTTTGGAGACAGCAAAACCCAGCTCTGAGGCCTCTTTGTTCAAAGAGTTTGTAATGCTCGTTCATGAACTCCACCTTCACTCTGCCTAGAGCAATTTTCATCTTGTAATTCTTTTTTTCCTAGGAGTAAACATTTTTTTAAAAAAAAATTGTTTCTTTTAGGGACTGGAGAGCACTGACTACTCTTCCAGAGGACCCAGGTTCAATTCCCAGCACCCACATGGCAGCTCACAACTGTCTGTAACTCCAGTTCCAGGCTGTCTGGCACCCTTACACAGACATACATGCAGGCAAAATGCCAGTGCACATAAAAATAAGTGAATCTTTAAAAAATTATTTTTAATTTTTAGATTATTATATTATTACACCATTTGCTCCTCCCCTTCCTCCCTCCAAACCCTCCCACATAACTCTCTTTGATCTTTCAAATTCATGGCCTCTTTTTTCATTAGTTGTTGTACACACACACACACACACACACACACACACACACACACACACACTTCTAAGCACATAACTTTAACCTGCTTGGTCTGCATAATGTTACTTGTATGTACGTTTTCAGGGCTGGTGCTGATAATCAATTGGTGTGCTCTTCCCTGAGGAAGACTCTTTCTTCCACTCTCAGTATCTCTTAGTTTCCCGTCGTTCTTGGTGTAGGGTTAAGGTCATCCTCTTTAGCAGTCTGTTGTCCTTGTTCAGCTCATGCTTGGGCAGTCATGTTGGTAAGACTCTACGGGTGTTGCTTCTAACACTCCTAGGAGACACATTCTCACAGCAAGCTCCCTGATCTGCTTGCTGACTCTTACAGGCTTTTCCCCTCTTCTTCCCCAATGGTCCCTGAAGCTTCAGTGTGGAAGTGTTTCGTGAGTGTATCCATTGGTCCTGGGCTCGACAACTCTGCATTTTGACTGGTTGTGGTTTTCGGCAATGCTCTCTGTCTGTTGCCAAGAGGAGTTTCCTTGATGAGAAGTAAAGGCTACACTATCTGTAAACATTAGGATAAAGGTTTAGATTGTCATTAGGCAGCAGGCTGGCTTTGTAGAGTAATGGTTAGAGGCTCTCCTCCAAGATCCTTAGCTTCACTAGCACTGTGTAGTTAGTTAGCTAGGCTTCTAGCACCAGGCGTGGTTTCCCTCTTGTGGAGAGGGACTTAAGTCCAATTAGAGAGCTGTTGGTTGCCACCAAGGTATGCATGCCACTATTGTACTCAGGGTTATGGTGCCATGCTTGTCATTGATGTGGTTCATAGGCGTCTAGCTGGGTAGGACTATTGGTTGCCTCCCTCCTTTGGAAGCTTAGGTGGCACCTTCTGGTACCATGAAAGAGGGCTTCTCATGTTTGGTATTGGGGGTTTTTAGGTGGTGTTTGGCTTTTGAAAGGATCATTGTCAGCTTAGAATGAGAAAAAGTCATTGAAATTATGTATGTAAGCTGGGCGGTGATGGCACATGCCTTTAATCCCAGCACTCAGGAGGCAGAGGCAGGCGGATCTCTGTGGGTTTGAGGACAGCCTGATCTATAGAGTGAGTTCCAGAACAGCCTGGGCTACACAGAGAAAGCCTGTCTTGAAAAAACAAAAACCAAAAGAAAAAAGAGAGAGAAATTACATTATGTATGTATATTTATATACAGAACTGTATATTATAGGGTCTTTTAAGGTAAATAGTTAATAGTATTGGTTATTAATATATAACTCCTTCTGGCTTTTTCAGACATCCTTTTAGTTATTTTACCCTCCTCTATCCTTCTGTGTTTATCTTCCTCCCTGTCCCTAAAGAGTTCCCCTTTCCTGTTTGGTCAGATCATTAGTCCCCTGATACGCCCTCTCTATGGTTCTCCAATCCGCCGTCCTGACAATGTCCCATTTAAATTTCCTGGTTTCTGCAGCTGCTCCAGGACATGTACTCATATCTGAAGATTTGTAATGAGGGGCCTCCAAGAGAGTTCTTTAAATTAAAAAACATATATTGCGCCGGGCGTTGGTGGCGCATGCCTTTAATCCCAGCACTCGGGAGGCAGAGCCAGGTGGATCTCTGTGAGTTCGAGGCCAGCCTGGGATACCAAGTGAGCTCCAGGAAAGGCGCAAAGCTACACAGAGAAACCCTGTCTTGAAAAAACCAAAATATATATATATATATATATATATTGGCACTTATTAATACACGAATAGATAAATCTTGAACATTTGAAACTACAGGAGGAAGTAAGAGAACACAGAAGATTTTTTTTTTCTGAATTATACATTTCCGTAATTGATTTGCTTTCCAAGAATTCTTCCTCTCAGTCTTCAAATCCACACAGTGCTTGAACTGCAACTAGGTGGGTACAGCGCTCTCCCTCCATCCACCCAGGTCAAAGCCTGAGATCAGCTGCCCCTAAGAAGAAGTCAGGGTCCAGCTGAAAGACTTCTACACCCCAGGCAACAGAGCAAACCTCTTCATGGACCACAACGGCATGTGAGGAGCCAGCAGCAGAGAAGCCACAGAATTTCTGAGCCATTAACCAGAGTAGAAATGCAGTGCTTCTCACGGGGGAGAGCAGGGTTTAGACTTCATGCAAGGGACCTAACACTGACATTCCCCCAGAGTCTGTATCTTAACTAACCATGTCCCAGAGCAGATGGGATAAGATACCTGTACGTCTTTCTGGAGGACAGAATGGAGGTAGGTAGCTTCATGTGCCTTGTCATCAAGAAACACTGCAAAAGGAGACGCTTCACAGAGTGGGAAAAAGTCCTTGCCAGCCATGCATCTGGCAAGGGATTAATATCTAATATACACAAAAAATTCAAAAAAATCAAACACCCAAAACAAATCCAATCAAAAAATACATAAAGAAAATAAATACTTGGGGCTGGAGAGATGGCTCAGAGATTAAGAGCACTGTCTGTTCCTCCAGTCCTGAGTTCAATTTCCAGCAACCACATGGCAGTTCACAACCACCTATAATGAGATCTGGTGCCCTCTTCTGGCCTGCAGGGACACATGCAGGCAGAACACTGTATACATAATAAAGAAATAAATCTTTAAAAAAAAGAAAGGAAGGGAGGGAGGGAGGGAGGGAGGGAGGGAGGGAGGGAGGAAAGAAAACACACAGATACTTCTCAAAAACAAAGTACAAATGGCCAATAAATACATGTAAAAGAATCCAAGCCAGGCATTTAATCCCAGAACTCATGAGACAGAAGCAGACAAATCTCTGTGAGTTTCAGGCCAGTCTGGTCTACATAGAGCGTTCCAGGACATCCAGAGCTACAAAGTGATACACCTTCTCAAATAACAAGTGTTCAGTATCTATCCTCAGCCATCAGGGAAACACAAATCAAAACTACACTGAGTCTCCATCTCATCTCAGCCAAAATAGCTATCATTTTTTAAAATTGCTTTCAAGGATGCAAGAAAAAGGGAACCCTATAAACTGCTGTGAGATATGTAAACTAGTGCGGCCCCTATAAAAGTCAACATGGAGGTTCTTTAAAAAATCATGTGACCTAACCATACCCCTGGGAATATACCATATACCCAAATGAATCAGAACACCACAGAGATACCTGCACATGCATGTTTATTGCTACATTGTTCACTAGAGCCAAGTCACAGAATCAGTCCAGATGTCCATAAACACATAAAGAGATAAAGAAAATGTGGGCTGTATATACAGTGGAGTTTGATTCTGTCATAAAGATTACAGTTCTGTCAATTCTAAGAAAGTAGATGAACTAGAGACTATCATATTAAGCAAACTAAGCCTCTCAGCAAGACAAGTATTACATGTTTTCCCTCATATGTGGAGCTATTCTCTCTCTCTCTCTCTCTCTCTCTCTCTCTCTCTCTCTCTCTCTCTCTCTCTCTCT